TCTTGTCTGATCTAAGTAAACTCAATTATACAAAATAGCCGATAACACTAAAATTACCAACACGGAGGAAGTATTACGTACTCCATTTGTTTCTTAAAACGGTTCCTATTTTGACTAATGGAAGAGATAAAGAGTGTATATTTGTGGTTGACTTTCTAATTTTGTCATTAATGTGATGTGTAAAAGTTAGACGTGATCGATATATTATTAGTGAAAAAATATGATGTGATAGGTAACTTAAAAAAAAGTATGGGTAAAAGTGATTTTTTAATAGGAAGTTGAAGTGTTAAAGAGTAAGAAAAAAATGGAAGAGGAAGTGTACGTTTTAAGAAACGGATGGAGTGTATATCTAGCACGCACCATCTATCCATAATAAAATCAAATAACCTTGGGAAGTGGAGAGTGTAAGTGAGAAGTTGATGTAGACTTTCTGTCTAGTTGTAATCACTATTCTGTGTGAGTTAGTATTACTCTCTCTGAGTTTAGGGCTTCTTCATTTATGTTTGAGTGGAGTGTCGAGAGGTTAGATTGGAATGTTGCTCCTTTTGATACTTTACCACTGACTTTACGGGTGACTTGAGTGAAACTAAATGTTAGCCCATATATTTGTAAATAGATGATAGGCCTAGTTGTATAAATGATAGGTCCAGTTGTATAACCCAATTATACTTGTATATAATCCCCTATTGTTTAATGAAATGCATCAAGGGTTTTACGTCATTCACTTTTCCTACATGGTATCAGAGCATACGTTACAATTGGAGTCGTTTGTTTTTCCTCAAACGTGCGGTTGTCCATCTTCACCCGAGAAGATCGGTGATCTTCATCACCTTCGTTTGTCTACATCTGTCTACATCTGTCCATCATCTCCTCGGCCCTCACCAGCAAACTGTGTCCAGCAACCTTCTCCAGCAAGTGACGCACAGCAGCTCTCATCATGGCCTCTGATAGCTCTAAAAAGACAAGGTTAATACATGACCCTTCGTCTATTTACTATCTCCATCCGTCCGAAGGCCCCGGCAACTCGCTCACTAAGTATCTTCTCAAAAGCGACAACTTCGATATTTGGGAGAAAGCCATACGAAATGCACTTGGTGGGCGCGACTCGTGGGACGACTATTATATCTCACTATTACTCGCCCTGATATCTGTTATGCAGTGCATGTCTTGTCACAGTTTATGCAGGCACCCCGTTTGGATCACTGGAATGCTGCCTTGCGTGTTCTCCGCTATCTTAAAGGCCATCCCGATCAAGGAATTCTATTACGACGCGATGGTGATCTTACTCTCACTGCTTTTTCAGACTCTGATTGGGCAAGTTGTCCCTTGACACGTCGTTCAGTGACTGGTTATTTCATTATGCTTGGCGGGTCTCCAATCTCCTGGCGCACTAAAAAGCAAACAACAGTTTCCCGCTCCTCAGCTGAAGCAGAATATAGAGCGATGGCTAACGCATGTACGGAGATTGGTTGGTTACGTGGGCTTCTTGCTGCCTTGGATGTACCGTGTTTTGCAACTCCGAAACTATATTGTGATAACAAATCTGCTCTGTTCATTGCTGCTAATCCGGTCTTTCATGAACGGTCAAAGCATATTGATATTGATTGTCACATCGTACGCGAGTGTCTTCAGCGCAATCACATTGTTACTGCTTATGTGCCTACACGTCTCCAAACAGCAGATATATTCACAAAAGCTTTACCGGGTCCTCTTTTTCAGTCTCTCTTATCCAAGTTGGGCATTTTTTATATTCATGCTCCAACTTGAGGGGGAGTGTTAGCCCATATATTTGTAAATAGATGATAGGCCCAGTTGTATAGATGATAGGCCCAGTTGTATAACCCAATTATACTTGTATATAATCCCCTATTGTTTAATGAAATGCATCAAGGGTTTTACGTCATTCACTTTTCCTACACTAAAATAAATAAATACGCACAAGAGGTACGAATAAGGATGATATACATTAGCAAATCACATATGAAGAATATTCACTGATCAATGAGTGTTTTACTACCGTTCTGGGATGTGCATACGCTTGAATTATTTACTCATCAGAAAAAAAATTGTGATAACCGTTATGTATCATGATATGATCTAATAATTAGTTAGTTATATACTCGATCTGTACCTTGGACTGTCCCGGAGTACATAACAAAGTCCTTTTGCATTCATGCATACCCCTCCATTCGTTGGGCGACGACATGCATTTCTACGTACTTGTCTCGCGAGGAGATGGACCGAGACTAATGCCTCGATCATGTTTGGCCTCTTATTCGTGCGCCAACGCGAAAGAATTGGACAGATATGATGTTAGATATAATCGGGTTTGTTCACATATAACCAAATGGGTAATGAGTCAATGTTCGGGTCAGTTAGTATAGAGTCAATTAGTGTGGTGTCGTTTAGTGTGTTTTACATATTTAATTAATTAAAAAACAGTGGGTAGTTTCTAAAAGGCAGTTATGGGTAGTTTCTATTGTTAATAGGTGTGTTGGTTTGTAATAGTTGTGTTGGTTAGTAAAAGTCATGTTGGTCTATTCTCTATTTATACTTAGAGAACACAGATAATCCTGTAACAGTTTTTTTTTTGAACAAATGCACACAATTTTTATTCACCACATCAACTAAAACGAGTACAAATCAAGCAACCACAGCAAGGCTAAACAAGCATCCCTAGCTTAGCCACACCTTTTTTAACTTAGTATTAATATAAACTCTAACATGATCCCTAATCCAAACACTACATTCGTCAGGGGGTATAATATTATTCTGCTTAATTTTGGAGTTACGAGCATGCCATATCGCATAGCATACTGCTGCAAATCCAGCTTCTACCGTTTGTCTTTGCAGCCTTCCCTTGATCATCTTGACTTCCTCCAGCATTTCTTCATTAGTTTTCGCCCTCCATTGGTGTTGCAACCACTTGCCAACAATACTCTGGACACATTTTGT